ATCATTATCTATCTGATCTGCCAAATCTGATACTTAACAACATTGTCTTCAGAACAGTTGACATAGCCTGGAAAAGTCTATCTTGTAAATCACAAAGAAAGATGACAGGTTTCACAGATCTCATCAGTGATAAAAAGAAGGGAGGCATAAAAGAGCAGATGCCAGTATACTTGCTGGCACAATGAACTGAATGAACTATATGTATTTCAAGGAGGAAAAAACCCTTTACATCCCGATTTTTATTGAGGCCTAGTAAGAAACCACTGACTGAACCTATTTATCTCAGCTCCTAACTAAACCGAGTTTTTGAAAGGTAAAGACAGATGATCAGGGAGATGGCATGATTTTGTAGTATAAAAAAGTGGTGGGGAAAGCCAAATCAGGTGTCGGGTAGGCATGCTGCAGCTTCTTCCACCTATCCTAAATCCATAGAAATAACAAAAAGAAAGAGATTTTTAAAAAGAAAAGGAATCCACAACTATACTGCAAAATAAGTACATTCTGTGAACCAGAAACTACAAGGAATCCCTGAAAGCAACAGTGAGCAGCTGGATGGAGGGAAACCACAGCTTGAAATACTCAAGGAGACGACTTGCTAAATATGAAACCAGAGGCATCCGAAGCTCAGAGGTAGCTGATGCTGGGAGCTGGAAATGCAGGGCAACTGACCTTATGGGTTCAACCAGGCTTCTGTGAAAGCAGCCAGTCTGGCCAACCCTTCTACACTTCTCCTACTTGCCAACCTTGGACCAGGCAGAGACAGCATGGTATCTACCCCATGATGTGAGTGGTTTAGTGCAGACAGTCTCAAGAAGCATGGCAATGTGCCCAAGGCAAACCAGGGGGCACTCACAACGGGAGATCGGCTGGTGGCAGGCTCATCCCACCCTTCCCTGCAATGGCTCTTTAGAAGTGCTTGGAACTTTAGAAGAGCAATTAATATTCTCAGAAAAAATACAAGAATGGCAATATACTTCCATTTCAAAGTACAGCAATCTTAGAAATTAAAATTGCTATCAATAAAATTAAAAACTCAACTGCTGGGCTGAATGGATGGATACAGCTGAAGAGCAACTTGCTGAGCTGGAACACCAGTTATGTAATTCTTCTAGAAGGTAGCACAACAGAGAAAAGCTAAGGGCTATATAAAAAACAGAAACAGAAGGTCAAATATATCTAGAATAGAGAACTTTTAGAAGAAAAGAATAGAGAACGTGAAAAAAGGAACACTAACAGCAAATACAGAAGTAAATTTCCCAGAATTCAAAAGATATATCTGACTGAACAGGACCAACAGGAAAAGACCCACTCCTAAACATATTGTAGTAAAATTTCAGAACACCTAGGGTGATAAATATCTAAAAAATAAATACTCAAGCCTGTAATCCCAACACTTTGGGAGGCCGAGGCAGGTGGATCACCTGAGGTCAGGAGTTCAAGACCAGCCTAGCCAACATGGTGAAACTCCGTCTTTACTAAAAATACAAAACTTAGCCGGGTGTGGTGGCGGGTGCCTGTAATCTCAGCTAGTAGGGAGGCTGAGGCAGGAGAATCACTTGGACCCGGGAGGCAGAGGTTGCAGTGAGCCGAGATCATGCCACTGCACTCCAGCCTGGGTGACAGAGTAAGACCTTGTCTCAAAAAAATAAGAAAATAAATAAAAATAATTAAATAAATAAAAGAGGGGGAAAGAGATTCTAATTAAAATCCCAATACAGTCAAGGCACTGAGATAAGTCCCTGCTCAAATGGTGAAAAAGAGTATAGATGACACCCTTCCTTCCCACCTGACCTTTGAGATCACTCCAGGTAACATCAATACCAACATTAACATCTGGTCACCCATGCATCGGACCTCCACTCCACTGCTGTTCATCTCTACCCACTTCAGTGAACTATGTAAATACAGTTGTTTAGATCACTCTTTGGACCTCATCAAGATCTGGAAATGTTCCACTATATTCCTCTTTGCTTACAAACTCCAAACTTACCACCCTTACCCTTAAACTGGATTTTTAATCTCAACACTTGCAGTCATTTGACTTCACCCCATTTCCTCACGCCATCAGGTCAGCACTGCTGATTCAACTTCCTTCCCCAATTTGCATGGATCCCATGATAACGTCTGTGGATATTTCACTGGGAGCCTCTATTAATTTTTCACATATCTTTGTGCCATGCCTACTAGTGGAATTATCATGACTACAATCAATTGTATTTCACTCACGATGGGTCTACACTCCTGGCTCTGAGCCACTAAAGGACATGGCATGACAATGTCAATTGTTGGTCTTACTCAAATATTGACCTTATCCTCAATGCTATCCTGATTGTCTCTACTGTCTGTGCTATATTCTTCTTCATCTCTAGTCAGTTCCTATGGTCCCATTTTCGATAGGATGTTGTCCAAAGTCCTCATCTGTTTCAAAGTTCGCTAGTTGCCCGCAGAACCTTCACTTCCCAATAAAAGAGTCAGGTATATAATCAGGCTTTCTTGTTAGATATTTTTGTGAACTTGTTTTGATTAGTTACAAGGAGGGATTTTATATGTAAGAGTATAGCAGGTTAGAAAAACATTTTCAAGTGTAAATACACATCTCTCCTTTCATCAAATTTTTTTTTTTTTGTTTTTTTTTTTTTTTTTGTTTTTTTTTTTTTTTTATTCATCCTTCCACTGTTACTTCATTGTACCAGCTGACTCTCTGCCTGAAACGTTGCCTCGCTACCTTTGGCTTCACCCCATCACTTTCTTGGTTTTCTTCTACTTTTTTTTTTTTTTTTGAGACTAAGTACTTCCACCTCTGTCTCAGGTTGGAGTATCATGGCACAATCTCGGCTACGCTGAACCTCCACTCCCAGGTTTCAAGTGATTCTCCCTGCTCAGCCTCCCGAGTAGTTGGTGACTACAGTGCCCACTACAACCCGCAATTTGTTTGTATTTTAGTATAGACCAAGGCTTTCACCATTTTTGGCCATGCTCTCGATCTCTGCCTCGGTGATCCGCCTGCCTCAGCCTCCAAAGTGCTGGCAATGACAGGTGTGAGCTTCCTCCTACTCCTGAATCGCTCTTGCTCTTGTTGTCACCTATGAGCATGGGGTTCATCCAGATCTAGTCATTTAGAGCGGGCGAGTGTATTGTTTACAATCAACCAGCATCCCAAATTGTCTGGTGGCTGTGATGCACCGTAAGGGCGCGCGTAATACAGCCAGAAAAAAAAAAAACCCGAACATATAAACCAAATCTTGTATAACTGGTACCCATTGCCTGCTCTCTGATGTGTGCGGTTGAGGGAGGAGAGCTCCAACCAGCTGTGCGAAGATACAATGTTTACCATGACTCATGCCCCTAGGACCGGCCAAAAAGAAGCAAAAGGAGTGTTGCATAAAGCGGCTCCGCGAAATGGTGACTACCCAGCGAACCCGCCCGCCGAACTCCCCCTGTGATGGAATGCCAGGTAAAGCGCGCGAGCCCGTGGTGGCACCCGTGGTGATCAGGACTTTTAAAATCCCCGTAATGCCTGCAGCGAGTACCCCGCGCCCGCAGGTGATGTAGGAGCGGCGCGACACCAGCATTTTCTATAGGGTCCCATGTGACCGCGAGGGCACGAGAGTGAAGAAGGAAGTGTGAGGAAAATTGCAGAGAGACTGCGGTAGCATGAGATATTACAAATACCAAGTCCAAAAAAAAAAAAAAAAAATCTGAACTAGCCAAATCATAATGAAGCTGAAAAATATTAGAGGATAGAGAGAAAGTCATGCAAATATCCTAGAGTGAAAAGACAGATTATCTACAAAGGAAAGAAAATTACGGTAATGGCAGACTTATCTGTAACATTAGGTGACAGAAGTCAATGAGTTAAAAATCTTCAAAGTGCTGAGGGAGGGAAAAAACTATGAACCTATAATTCTACAGCCTGCCAAATTATTCTTCAAGAATGAAAAAGACCTTTTCAGACACACAAAGCTAAGACTCTACTATTCAGACCATCACTGGAAGAATTACAGAATATACCTCATTATAAAGGTAAGTGAGCCAATAGGAATACAGAAGTATTTATTGATATTAACCAAGTCTGGCTTCTGCCTGGAAAATACAAGATGTATGAAACATATGCATCATTGAGAGGTCCCAATGGTCTTAAAGAAGGTAAAACAGCTCAGTGCAAATAAATAAATTTTACATTAAAAGTTTTAGCAGGGCTCTGGCTAATTTGAATTGTTTTCTTGCACTTTTGTAGAATTTATCCCATTTTCAACTGTGCAAATTTCTATAACTTGAAATAATCAAAGAAAGCACTACCAATCTAGCAATGTTTAAAAAATGTTTCCCACTTTCTTTCAATGAAAAAATAGGTTTTATACATTTATATATTTATCAAAATATCAAAACAATTTTATTTTTTTGCTATAATTATCTTAGTTTCTAGATGTCCTGAAAATAATTTAAGAACACCAATGATAATCATTCAATCTCACCAATACTATGTAGAGTTGACCCTTGAAAAACATAGTCTTCAACTATGTGGGTCCACTAATAATGCAAATTTTCTTCCACCCCTGCAAAAGCAAGACCAACCCCTCCTCCGCCTCCTCCTCAGCCTACTACTCAAAGTGAAGACAGCATGAGTGAAGACCTTTATGATGGTCCACTTCCACTTAATGAAGAGTAAACACATTTTCTTTTCCTTAGCTTACGTTATTGTAAGAATACAGTATATAATATATATACCATACACAATATGTTGTTAATCAACTGTTTCTTATTGGTAAGGCTTCCGATCAAGAGTAGGCTATTAGTAGTTAAGTTTCGGAGGAGTCAAAAGTTATACATGGGATTTTCAACTACTTGGGGAGTGGTGCCCCTAACTCCTGTTGTTCCAGGGTCAACTGTATTTAGTTTCCTTTCATAATTTCTTGGTAACTTCAACCACACATGTTAATTTCATTAGATTAATCCACAGTACCATATTCTAAGACTTACCACAAAGAAGAAACAGACTCTTAACCCAGATGATAATTATGTATTTAATACATGTTGCTTTCAACAGCAATTTTTAAGGTAAACACATCATAGATCTTATAACTTATTAAAGATTTTATAGTGCTTACAAAGTTGATTCTAAAAAATATACCTTATTTGTTCTAAATGAATAACATTATCTGGAAGATATAATAATAAATTATAGTAGTATGTTTTCCACCACAATAGTTAAGATTGTGTACACATATTCAATATGAAATCCTCTTAGGATTTTCACACCTTCAGCCTGAAAACATAAAAGCAGATTAAAGTTTGGCATACAAGATCTCAGTCTGATAGCAATTGTTTTAAAACTCAAAATGTAAAAATATCTACTTGACATTCTAGGAAAGCATGGGCACATGCACAGACACATTCACTCACTCACTCCAACACACACATGCATGCACACATACACACACTCCAGAGTACTCAGAAGATCTTGCCCTTGTGGATCAGACAACTGCCATCAATTTCAAAAACTAATGGAAAAAATTTAGCTAAGAATATGTTTAAACCATACTTAAGAGGTGCTGGTTGCCATTAAGATCTTTAACATGCAGAGAATGCCATCTCAAAACATTCTTAAACAGACTTGAACTATTCGCTAATGGACACACGAATACATAAGAAATTATGTACCCATCTACTCCCCAGACTGCATATAAGATGAAAAACTAGGCATTCCACTAACAATGAGTCATATGACCGAACCCAGCTAAAGCTACAGTGGTTTGCTTCATAGAACCCAATAGATGACAGAACCCAACAGAATTAGAAACCTCATTTTGATCTGTTTGGAGTTTCCTATATGCTCCATGTGCAAAAGCAATGAGATTCTGTATTGCAGATGACAGCTAATACCACTCTGCACTTTTGTGGCACTGCAAGAGGTCACTGTATTTCCAAAACATGTATTTATTCTAATTAAATCCTCTAGTAGTCCTTACTTTTAATTATATATAGTGTTCCAAATTTAGAACCAAAACAATTTAATGCTGATAACCTCTTTTGCTTAGCATATGTACTTCCAGTAAGATCTGTCAAAACAGAAAATTACTCTTTGGGCTGTCTCCAGTAATGCAGGTTTGAAACCAGAAGTCCATTCTCACCCTGTATCAAAACATTCCAAACTCCATGAAACAGCATTAAATTAGAAACTAACCACAAATTAGGGCACTCATAACTCATACTGCTGTGATTAGAAAAATAAAAAGGCACAACAGTAAGCTAAAGAGAAAATACCAGCTCCCCATATGCTTTTTGTTTGTTTTTGGCTTTCTTATTTTATTTCACTAAGTTTACAAATTGTTCAAAGCATTCCTATACTCTGCATGACAGGAACAATATTTTGGCACATTAACATTGTGAAACAATGTGTGGCATGTTTAAAAAATTAATTTAAAAATTTCATCTATTAATCAACACTTTTTTAATGTAGTACATATATATCTTACAGTTATTTAAGTCAAATACGTAAAGGTTTGCAACTGATTTACAGATGAAGCAATCACAGATTGCAGTAATATGTGTGTGTATATGTGTATATTTATCCATATATACACACATGCCAATCAAGGGAAAAACTGCATCCTGGCAATTTTACAGTCTGAAGTTTTGTTGGTATATCTACCACTTCACATCCTTTTCATCTTGTTTTTTTGTACAAAAGATATTTTTTGCCTTCTTCATTCCTGATGAGATTTTTCTGCGATAACTTTACATTCATACTGCAAAAATTAAAAGGTTAAAAGGTTAACAGATGAAGATTTCTTTTGAATAACAGCTTCCAAATAAACTGAAAAGCTCTAAAAATGAACACTTTATTACTATGTGCCCATTTATTCCTCAAATAATCTGAGAGTTACATAATTACTATGATTAAATGACAAATGGGACAGGGAAAAAAATAATTCACCTTCTGGAAGTGAAAAAGCCACAGCCAAAAGCAGAAGAAAGATGAGATTTTTGCATTACAAGCAAATAGTGGCAGTATATGATTTAGAATTTAGATCAATCTTTTAATATGAAAGGAAGCAAAGTAGGTTTCTTTGAGTACTCAATAAGGCAAGTTAGCAAAGAACAGTTCACGAACTTAAGGACAGGGCTGTTGTGGTGAACTCAGATCACTGTATTTTCAAATCATTATATGATACAAAAGAAAAAATCTATTACATTAACAAAAGCTTCTAGTCAAAACAATATTTTTAAAGTACAGCTATAAAAATGTACACCCACAATTCAAAATAAAGGAAACCAATAGGGTAAGATAACTGGTTGGCTATTTTACCAAAAATACAGCAAAGTAAATCACTCAATTCTCCTAACCTGGCTAAAAAGGTAAAAGTGACAGCATTTATTCATCAAACTGCTGTGGCCTCTGAATGTCACTCCCTAACCCTTGCCATCTATGACTGGAATCATCAACAATGTCCTTTTCCTTCATAACTAAAATCATCAAACGTCTTGATTTGTTAGAGATGGTCCTAATTTATACTTATTGTAGCAACATACTTATTAATAGTGACCTTTTTAACTTTCAAAACTGTCCCTTTTTGATATAGTGGAAACCTGTATATTAGTTTTTTAAAAACCACTAATATCCCCCATATGGTCAATAAATCATATTGCCCTATCCATAACACATTTTGAGCTTTTTTCTCCAGTGGCTTCTCAACTTTTAAAACACCTGTGATTAAATTCTTCCAAATGATTTATTTCAATGGAAGTGCAAAAAATCAATCAAAGAATGTTGTCTTCACAAATTGCTTTCCCTTAAAGGACTACCTTTTAGATAAAACTTGTCATACATCTCATTCAGAAAAGTGATTAATAAGCATCAGCTTACCATTGCCAGTTGTCGACCAATGTTTCCCATTGTTATGCCTCCAGCAAAAAATATACATGGTAACCAAGAACGAACATAGAGGAAATCTGGAGATGTATATCTAGAATAACAGACATGTCTTTAATACCCACAGAGGAACTGCAATGACACTTAAGATAATTACAATGAAAATAAACTACTCTGTAGATTAAACTGGCTAACCTCATTTCATAATCTCAATTCTGAAAGCAGTTAACATTTATTTATCTAGCAAACAAGCACCAAAATTTTAAGGATTAATACTTACTGATAAACACCATTATATACTAGTAATTGAGTGACCAGGGTTGCCAAGAAGGCGATTCCTACTCCAAGGCCAAAACCACTTCTAGATCTATCAAAAGTCCACCACAGTCCAATGGATAGTGCAGCCAGTGTGAGAGACAACTGTATGTTGTTATCAAAATCCACTTTCTGAGATCAGTGTTAAGAAGTCATCTTAAAACTTGTAACCAAATAATATCACCTGTTCATTTTTCTAAATAAGAGATGCATCTGTTGAGAAGGGAATTAATTGCTTCTACTCAAGTACCTCAGTCTCTTAGTACAATGTATGAAGCTAGGTGAGATTAAAACTATCTCCAGTATTTACCCAATACCAGATACATAAAAGGCATTAATCAATAGATCCTACCAACCTGTAACCCCTCCAAAAAATAAAAAATAAACAGTCTACATACATTCCCAATTATAAGCCATTATTTAAGAAATGCTTTCTTTGCTAAAAATAACTAGAAGCCTCAGAACACAAGTATCACTAAAAGAACACACTTTTGCAAAAAAGGAAACCAATATTACTTCTCCAGCAGGTTTAGAATTACTTGAGAATCATACAGGAACTTGAAAATAGAAGAGTTGACAGCTATTTAACAGGGTACCACATTCTCTCTATGATTTACTGACAGACACATTTTATAATAATGCAGTTCAGAAACAAGAGTACCAAGGACACAGTATCCCTTTCTATTATGTCAACTGTTCTAGTTTTAATTTGTTGAGGATAAAGCCTTGAAGTGAACATTATCTTACAACCTGCCAAGCTATTTTGGTGCCTGAGACTTTCTGGTATAGGACAGTTTGTTCAAATGATATTTTATTTTCATCATCTACTTAAGCATCTATTCACAAAAGTATGGCCCTTTTCTACACCAAAATCTCTGGGTAAAATGAAGCTTTACAGATTCAGTTTTCTCATCTCTTTGCTAGAGGATTACACTAAAGGAATTAATTTCAAGTGCCATTAAAAGGGCATTATCTATGTCCCAAAGGCCACCTCTTGGCTCTAAAACCAGCTACTGGGGAAGGCAGGGGACGTTTTGGAGGAACACATATCACCAAACTGACCACGCTACAAGTACAGAGAAGTCCAAAAAAAAAAAAAAAAAAAAGCATACGAAGCCATTTCCCACTACCTTTAACACTCTGTTTTTCACCATTTCCCTACCCCTACCAAGCAACTATCCTAAACACCCAGTTTGCTTATTTCTCAGCATCTCAGGACTATTGTGGGCAACCCCTTCAAGGTCGTTTCTTGTTAAGGCTTGATTTAAAAAGAAACCTACAGTTCATATGGATATGCTTTCTGGAAAAGCTTTTCTTATTCTTTTGCTATCATTATACTTAAAGTTCAAAGAAAAGGTTTAGAGCTCTGATTTCCCTATGAAATAAACACACATGTAAGGAGTGGAATTTGGTATTAAATGAGTTTCATGTTTGTTAACTAAACTCAATTAAAAGTCACAGCGAAGTAAGGAGGCTTCCAGAGTAAACAGATATATCAGTCTTAAAATAGTGCCATATGGGCCGGGCGCGGTGGCTCACGCCTGTAATCCCAGCACTTTGGGAGGCCGAGGCAGGCGGATCACGAGGTCAGGAGATCAAGACCATCCTGCTAACACGGTGAAACCCTGACTCAACTAAAAATACAAAAAAATTCGCTGGGTGTGGTGGCGGGCGCCTGTAGTCCCAGCTACTCGGGAGGCTGCCAGTTACTCGGGAGGATGAGGTAGGAGAATGGCGTAAACCCGGGAGGCAGAGCTTGCAGTGAGCCAAGATTGTGCCACTGCATTCCAGCCGGGGCGACAGAGCAAGCCTCCATCTCAAAAAATAAAAAAATAGTGCCATATGAGTTTGTAAAGTCTAAGTAACCTAATATTAGAAGTGTATGCTATAAATTTGGTAAACATTTTGGACTTAAAGGACAACAGGATATCTAAGATTGCTATATTTAAGTATTTCATTGAGAAAGAAATGTAAAGATTTTAAACTTAATAAGTTTTTAAAATTTCAGAAAGGCTATTAAGTCATTGAGAAAGAAATGTAAAGATTTTAAACTTAATAAGTTTTTAAAATTTCAGAAAGGCTATTAAGTATTTCATTGAGAAAGAAATGTAAAGATTTTAAACTTAATAAGTTTTTAAAATTTCAGAAAGGCTATTAAGTATTTCATTGAGAAAGAAATGTAAAGATTTTAAACTTAGTAAGTTTTTAAAATTTCAGAAAGGCTATTTAAATTTCTCAACAGAAAAATAAAAATCGAAGTGGAAATGTCTGAGAGAGAAGCATCTAATCCACCAGATAGAGAGGAACTGACAGTTTTGAGGCTTCTGTGTAGGCAAATGAGATGTTCCTAGACTTGAGTCAGGCTCTCTCGGGTCTGTTCTCAGCTCTAATGCAATGTCGCAGAATAAATGACTTAGTAAATTACCTAACCTCTGTAGCTTCCATTTGTCTTATTATCTTTACAAAAAAAAAAAAAAAAAAAAAGTGGAACTAGGTGATTTCTAAGTTCTCTTCTAGATATAATGGTATATGATCTTATCTTTTTAAGCCCTCCTGACCACTAGATTTTTTATAAAATCTTAAATCTCAAAAAGTTCACCAAAATAAACACGTGGAAATGTCCTCAATACAAAAGGAAATTAAAAATAATAAAAGCCACTGAGGGACTTCCAAATTCACAGAACTGCAACAGCCAGCACAACTGTGCAGAGGAAGGCAGATACGTTTTCAGAATCTACAACCCTTCTCTTTTCCATGTTTTTTGCCCCCAACCTTATCCACAACACCTCAATACTTTCTGTGAAAGACACAGGGATCTACTTGACACATGACCCACCCTCTCTCTCCAGCTAGCTAACTCTGCCAGCCCTGAGTCCAGTGCAGAGTTGTAAGAGCAAACTTTTGGCAGCCTGGGTCACACTTACTGCTTTTCCAAGTACCCAAGGTTCCTGCCACGTTCACTGTCTAAACCACATCTCCTAGAAAAGACAGGAACACCATTTCCTAGTTCCTCTTCTACCAAGGAAAGTCAGAGCGAATGAGGAGGAAGTAGAAGAGAGGAAATAAGGAGGATGACAGGAGAAAAACCTTATGAGGGCAAACATTTTTTTCTGGGCACAGAAGGTAGAAAGGGCAAGAGAAATAGGAGCTGCCTGGGACACTGTAAAAACACTCATTAACCACTAAATAAAATGTCTGAATCTTCAAACAATAAAACTTTAAAAATATGTACTGGGAAAGAAATTTATTTTTGACCAAGGTCTAAGTTGGTATTTCTACTTATGCCATTTACATGGTTTGTCAGTATTGATTAAAACCAATGCGTCTACCTTTAAAAAAAAAAAAAAGCTTCTTGGCCAGGTGCAGTGTGGTGGCTCAGGCCTGTAATCCCAGCACTTTCGGAGGCCAAGGCAGGCGGATCATGAGGTCAGGAGATCAAGACCATCCTGCCTAACATGGTGAAACCCCGTCTCTACTAAAAAATACAAAAAATTAGGCCGGACGTGGTGGCTGGCACCTGTAGTTCCCAGCTCTACTCGGGGGAGGCTGAGGCCTGAGAATGGCGTAGACCCAGGGAGGCGGGGCTTGCAGTGAGCCCAAGATCGCGCTACTGCCACTCCAGCCTGGGCGGGCGACAGAGGGGAGACTCCGTCTCAAAAAAAAAAAAAAAAGAAAGAAAAAGAAAAAAGAAAAACAAAAGACAAACAAAATAGCACCTGAAGCTACCACGTGTCCTTATTAGCAATTATTAAAGAGAGGAAAAAACTCTTCTGAAAATGTACCTGTTCCATTTTTGGATTAACTACACAGAAGTAATTAAGTAACCAAATTTAAGAAAACAGGTAAATATTTTAAATTTGCAAAGTTTCTAAGTGATATTGAAAAATACGAATTGAAATGAAAGGCTATACCCCACTTTGTAATTGCACAGTTGCTACACTGATGTTTCAACAATATGGTTCACATTCTTCTTCTAACTAAGTGGGCATATCACAATTTGACAACAGTGAAGTTGTAAGGAGCTGTTTAACCTTTGGTTTGTTGGAAGCTTTGTTATCATGCATTTCATTACAGAGTAAAGGATACAGCACTGGCATGATTTATACCAACAAAGACTGCTACACACCGCATTACACTGGACCACTCTCTTTTAAATTTATGTGGTTCTCCTAGATGTCTGTCAATGCAGGGGTATAATAACCCAATCACAGCTGTGGGGAAAAAAGAAAAAAATTAAGTTATCTCCAATGTTGTACTGGCAACACTTAAGCTAAAAGAATCACTACAACCACCACAAGCATTTTAAAGATTCTTAAAAAACAAACAAGTTATTTCACATCAATCACTGATATTTTTTAACTTACCTTCCAAAAGAAATGAAATGAGGATAACACCAATGAAGAAAGTATTGCAAATGATTACAACAACATTCTAAATTATAATAAACAAAACACTCTTCAAATATATGATTCATAATTTAGCAGACTGGACTAGATGATTCATGCTACTTTTCTGCTACTGATACCTATGAGACCTGAAAAGTATCAAACCAGTTAGCAGTTAAGAAATGTTCTCTCTAAACTCCAAACCATAAAATAGGTATTACATGCCACAAATCTAAAGAAAATCTAGAAGCATAAAAGTATACAACAAGCTCATCATACACACAATGTTCTGATGGTTCTGGCTGGCCTCTTACGTAGATCAGTCTCACCCCTACCAGCTTCCCGTCTTAGTCTTCCACATCTAGCGCCTTTTACTGACACTCCTTTCCACTCTAGCCCTTTAATGAGGCTGTAGGTCATATTGTCAAAGCAGGAAAACTCACAACAGAAATCTACAGGTAGACTCATTCTGCACATAGAAACAATGGAGGAAACAAGGTGTACAGGTATTTAAATTTTTCAGTTAAATTTTAAATGCACTGTTACAAGAAGAAATCATCTTAGTACTTCCCTTAGTTCTGGAAAGAACACCTTGAATGCTGTGTCATTAATTATATATAACTGTATATAAAATGTCAATGATTGGGTCCCAAAATATTCTCTCCCTTTCTTAAATATTTCTCAAACCTCAACATTTTATTCATTTAGTGGGAAAGAATTTTAAATGCTAAATTAGTTATTAAAAAGAATATTTAATGAAAACATTCTAATCTTCCTAAAAACAGGATGATTATGTTGTGCCATTCTGGCAATAAAGACACTACTGTCACATCAGTTGAAAAGCATGTTTAAAATATCCAGTACCACTCAAGAGGAATCATGAAATTACAATGCCAAAATCTAAGTGCCTGAGGGACAAGAGGCCCTCCCCTTACCCAATATTAGCCAGCTATATCTCACAGGCAATGCATTCACTCTTCAAAGAAAAACAGAAACCAATTAGTATCAAAAATCACAGGCTAGCAGATCAATGGTGCAGCATTTGAAAAAGGCTGTGTGACCAGCCTTCTATCTCAAGATGAGATGCTTCAATACTGTATGCATTTTCTAGTCCACAACTCTTTTAAGTTAGGCATTTGCTGAGTATAGATGGCTCATAGAACATTAAGAGATTAAGAACTATCTCGGCAATGCAGAGCTCCAATAACGATTTGTAAGTCTAGAAGTTTCACACTATATTCCTATTTAAAAGACTGCTCCAAAATTCCGAGAAGATTTAACTGACAGGATTTTTAAATTTCTATACAAATAAAATGGCAACAAGCATCCCTAACAGTTCAAATGTAACTAAACAAATATCACCTTTTTTTCTCAAGGGTTCATAAAACTAACAGCTCATTTGTCACCCCGGTCCCCCCACGATATATATCCTCCCTTTGCCTGTTGCTGAGTAAAGTCAACTAAGAGCAGACATTCCAAGTCAATTTTCCTGAGCAACTGATGCCACAGGTAAAGAATTATTACATAGCGAATACTGACATGTGTGTGCCAAGATATAAATAAGTAAAATTGACTATTTTTATGCATGTGATGTCAGACTTGCAAGTGAGAGACAATTGAGGAGAGAAAGCAAAAACACAAAAAGAAATTTAAACTGCCACACTGCCAACCCTGGGATTTGCCAATAAAAATCAAATCCATTGAGTATGCATGGTTCTCAGCTGCTCACTGAAGAGGGAGAATTCAAAGAAGCTTGTCACTTCCCATTAAATGTCTTCTTTCTTTCCCTTAAATAAAGGCATGGCAGAGTCTGATAGCAATACATGCAATACTGTGAGGTTCCACTGTTTGAGAGCTCGACAGAATATGTCTGGGCCTCTTTTCCTCTTCCTGTACTTTTTTTTTCAAAAAAAAAAAAAAAAAAACAACAAGAAAGACTGTTAAAATCATGGCTGTGCAAAATCATATGCAAACACAGTCCTGCTTATAAATCAAATGGTTCTCTGATGCAAAAATCACATTACTTGTGATATCTTTAAGTTATTTCCCAGTAACTAGTTACAGTCTACCAAAGCCAAACACTAAAGAAGTTTGTAAAACCTCAGTAGTAAGTCATCACTTTTTTATGGGAGCGTGCTTAATGCAGGGAGGCGCTAAAAGGAACATAGTCAAAGCCAGACATTTTGTAAGAAAACAGGAACTGAATAAACGAAAACACTCCATGAGGTATACTTCGATGGAAAACTACAAGATAATATTTTCCTTCAACAAATACTTAAGCCCTGACAATATGTCTGGTTCTTGGTATTTGCTGGAGATTTAAAAAGGCAAGGCCAGGTGTGGTGGCTCACACCTGTAATCCCAGCACTTTGGGAGGCCGAGGCAGGCGAATCACAAGGTCAGGAGTTTGAGTCCAGCCTGGCCAACATGGTGAAACCCTGTTTCCACTAAAAATACAAAAAAAAAAATAGCTGGGCGTAGTGGCGGGCGCCTGTAATCCCAGCTACTTGGAAGGCTGAGGCAGGAGAATTGCTTGAAGCCAGGAGGTGGAGGTTGCAGTGAGCCAAGATGGTGCCACTGCACTCCAGTCCAGGTGACAGAGTGAGACTCCGTCTAAAAAAAAAAAAAAAGGCAAAAGAGTAAGATATGATTCCAGTTGCAAAGTGACCATAGAAACAAAACAATTAAATACAATCCTGCATTAAGTACAGCTGACAGGACAGAGGGGTCCCAGGCTTCTCTTTGCCTGTGCTGCGGGAAGGCAAGGTGCTGGGCTGTCAGAAAAGCTTCACAGAAAGAGATGACACTTTAGGCAGGAGCATTCAGCAGTAAATGGCGCAGAAACCGTGCTCTCATTAAAGGGAGGTGACTGAGGACAATCATGGACAACTGGAAACTGCTGGTGTTACAAGGAAGCTGTAAGCTTCAGACACAAAGGGAGCTGCAGAGTCCAGAAAGACTCTGAAGAAGATAAAAGCAGGCAAGGGCCATGTTATAAAGCCTTTACCCTGCAGACAACGGGCAATCAGGAAAACAATGTCATCACTGTTGTACCAGACAGAGGCCATCTTCTTAGTAGTGAGGGTACCACACAAGGGGGCTGAGAAACGGGTGGGTGCAAAACTAGAGGCAGGAAGAGAAAAGACTCAAGACTCCAAGCACAGCCATCGAGGGATGGATGGACGAAGACAGAGACAGAGGAAAGATGTAAAACTTGGAAACTGGATGTAGAAAAGGAGACAAAGCAAGAAATCTTACAAGGTTCTACAGGAATGGGGCAATGGACTGTAAAACTAAACAGGAAAGATTTTTCTTTTCTTTTTACATTAGATATTATTTTCGTACGTTTGGACACAACCAGGCTACTTGTGATTTTTGAGGCAACTTCTCTACTTATTTTATCCACATGAGTTGTCTTTTTCTATTTATTCTTTAGAAAGATTTCTTTGTGGCCCTCAATAACGCTGAAAATATTTCTAATTCCAATTCTGGTACATGGCATACATAAGGAAGTTAACTTGTAACATCAGCATTATCAAACTAAAAATACGGAATTAAGAAAAAAAGTCATCAAAATTAGTTTACCAAAGTTCTCTATTAGTTGTCCCTCCAGAAGCACCACTAGCAAATTTTCCAGGATTGTGCTATAGAGAAAGGTGGCAAATAACCAGGAGTACTTTCTACACAAAGAAGATGGTGATTTTGGAGCCCCTCCAAAAGGTAGCTGCTCGATCTCTGAATGTTAGTTGAACAGGAAAATCAAAGGATTATCAGTTTTTCTGACTTAAGATGGTAAGACCCTAGAGAGGTCTTGAAAATCCACACCAACACATATACACAAAAACATATGCATATTACATATACACACAAACTCAAACACACTATGTTTCTTAAATCATTTACTTCTTTTCCCATGATACTTTCCCTAAAATAATGATGCAGGGGATAGCAGAGCAGAGGTTTTGCAAGAATCCATTTTCCATCTCTGGTAACTTGCACAAATCTGGTATCTTTCACTCTCATCTACGAAACACCATGACTTAATGAACAAAATTGGTAGCAGAATTCGCTGGAATCTAGATTTCCTAATGCCTCTCTTTCTTTTGCCCAAGTACCTCATGGTACAAACTGCTTTCAGAAGAGATACTTAAGCAAGAAATGTAAACGCAAATTCCCCAAATGAAAAGGTATGAGGTTAAGTTCGTCAGTGTGACAAACCTAGTGGCTGGAAATAGGAAGGAAAGTAGCAGCTGAACTGTGGTATTATCATTAGAAATTTTCCTTTCTAAAATGTAAGTTTATGGCAAAAGTGCTGACATTACAGGGCAGAAGGACCAGAAGGACACTATGCAGCCGTTACTCGTCATAGTGGAGGTACAATGAAACCTCAGTTAAGTTCTCCTGCCCCAGCCCAAATGCACAACACATGCCAGGGAATTCCATCTAGGTCTGGCACCCAGTCTGGAGGCTTGAAAAGAGGCATCCTGAGTAGGGGAAAGTTTGAGTAGCTTCCTTTTCCCTTCCCTAACATGTGACATGTGGGCCCAGTCACACCACTCACTGGCTCTGGGACCCTGGGCTCACTGGTTTTCTTTCTTCATCTCAGTGAGTGTCCTCATCCCCCCCAAACAGGCACAAAACCAAACATCTCTCTCCCAAAGTTGCTCTACAGAACCCTGGGATTACAGGATGTACCTAGCACATTAGCAGACATTCACTAAGCAACAGTTTCCCTTCTCTGACCTTCCCTTTGTTCTATCCTGAAAATACATGTATGTTCTTCCATGTCCCACAAAGCTTCTACTGGCAGCCAGACTACAGCATAGAAGAAAAGAAACAAAGAACTAGAAAAGTTGTTGAGAAAACGTTTTCTCTTCTGAATTTAAATGAAAGAAAAATGTGTGAGGACCAGTACATACAGCAGAGAGTGATACAATTTAATTTGTTTTTTATTTGGACTATTTTGCCTTTTCACTTGGAGAATGACAACCCTGGGGAAATTAAGAATCACTGCCTTCATGACTTCACTTTTAATGTGAACCCCGTAATAGTGAGACATCAGTATGTAAGCACTAAAGCCTCACTACAACAGTGCCCCTCTAACCGTGCAACCGGATTCTATAATTGTCCAGTGAGTTTCACAAGGCCATTCTAACACTTCTCTAAAGTGCAACCTCATCCTTCAAACTCACCCTTCAACCTCCAGCTTTTGGATGGAAGCCAAGAAGGACACATATTATGTTGCAAGATATTCACTCATATATGTTAAGGATGAGACACTAAATGGGTATTTAAAAAAGCAATTTTCTCCTTCAATCAGAATCATCTTCTACCACATGATTATGGTTTCCTTCTATTACTTTATTATTAAAAACAGTATTAATCTATTGGTCTTGGTCATTAGAAAACACCAAAGAGCTATCCACTGTGGATGTATGGCTTCAATAAAGTATTGTGAAATGCTCTACTCTATGCATTACACATTGCCCACCACCAAAAAAAATCTAAAGTAACTAATAGGATAATAATTTTATGCAAAGAGAGTCTACCTTATAGATCTCTTTAAATATTTCTTATTCTTAAGGTACTTACAAAAATAAGATACCAAGGAAAAAGGCATTTACAACAATCTAAAAAAATACAACATGAAGCCTTAAACTTGAATTATTCAAGTTTTCAAGTTTTTATTACTTCAAAAACAAGACCACAACACAGGTATCAAACCCTTAAAACCAGATGGTGGTGCTCGTCCTCAAAATAACTTAAAATAACACTTAGATGAAATGGGTTGAAGAAAGAACAAAATTAAAGGGTTAAATGCTTCATCCCTAAGGGAAACAGGATTGTTTTTTAGAAGTAAATGTTAAAAGTTTACAGGACAGATAGAAATGAGACAGAAAGGAATACATACTTTATGAGTTCATTTATAGTGCATTCTAGAACAGAGAGAAATAATTTATGGCAACAGAAAGCAGATCAGTGGTAGCCTGAGGCTGGGTTGGGGAATGGACCGCAAGAGGACACGAGAGACTCTGGAGGGTGATGGAAATGTTCCACAGCTGGATTGGCAGTGGCCACGTGACTGTACGCATTTACCTAAACACATCAAGTTGTTCAATTCAAACAGGTCCAGTGTATTATATCTAAATTGTATCTCAATAAATATATTTTCTTTTTAAAAAAGGTTTATTGCTCAGACAACATCCATACTCATTTACCCTATTTCCTTTCTAAGCATTACAGAAACATCCTACACATACCTGAAGCCGTGCCACAGCATGGGGGTACCCACCATGCAGAAGAAAAGATGCTTGCAATCACATCAGGTGGAAAGAGCGTCACATTTCTCTGAATCTGAAGTAAGTTTAACACCAATGCAAGAAATACTCCAATAAAAAATAGCACTACTCCTCGAATCATCAAGTTCACACTCTGGCTAGTGACAGATGAGATATATGGGCCACATTTTTTGGGCCCAGGTGACTCTGTCTCTCCTTCCGCCATGGTTTCATAAGTTCAGTAAGCCGTTAAAAAAAAAAAAAAAAAAAAAGGAAAGGCTTCCCAGCTGAAAAGCTCAAGTGTCTGTGAATCAAAGACTGACGCTTCAACAGTACCACCACATCTTGTCCTAAAGTAGGACCTACCAGAAATCCTGAAAGAGATAAGAAAAAAGAAATTAATGTGCATCTAATACATGATTATTGTAATTTTACTGATTTCAATACTAGTTCATTTAAATGGACAAATGAGAAAATGACAAGCTTGTATACTAATTTATTCAAATTATTAACATTTATTGAATAAGAAAAAGTTTTAAAAGTATTTTTATATGCAAGATGTAATAAAAAATAAAGTACTACCGTTACATTTACTAGGACAGAAAAAGTGACCTAAGAGACCTAAAGGTTAGAATCATAGTAGAAACAGCTTGCTCTATCTCTGAGAAAAGCAGAACAGGTAATCTGACACTTCCACTAGAATCTGGAGGGTAAAACCCTGCTCTCTGTTCTCTTCTCCCTAAATCTCTAAGCCTATCAGTACAATAGTGTATTTTATATTTTACAGGTAAGCGTATTCTGACTGAAGACGCTATATTTTTTGCAATAAAATAAGTCACGAGGACAACCTCCATAGAAGGACAAAATAACCTGTTTTAATGCTTATTGCTTATATATTTGGTTATCCGCACAAAAACATTCTACAAAACCAGACCACCATGCACACACCTACATATACACCAACCACAGAAACCAGACCTGATTCACTCTCCCCAGGGACACAACGGTATCCCACCCCTGCCTCAACAGTCTGCCCTTGTTGCAATCACAGAAGGGACTATAAGAAAGCTGGAGGACAAACAAAAGAAAGGAAGTGAAGAAAATGAAGAACAATCTAATGGCTAGATTCTAATGAGTTTTATCCACTTGGTTCCTGACTTCTAAAACCTAAAACTTTGCTACTACAATCAGTCTAGGTATTTGTTCATTCCTCTGACCAAAGTGATCTTTCCTTTTGGGGCATTCTATGTGCTGTTTTAAGCACCTGACATGTGGTAATTCATTTAATCCTCACAATAACCTTCAGAGGTTAAGTGCAATTATTATGTACATTTTATAGGTGACGCAAAAAAGCAAAGAAAGGTTAAGTCACTTGACCTAGTGCACACCTCCAGTAAGAGACCAAGCTGGGATTCAAAAGTATGCAGTCTGACTCGAAAGCCTTCATTCTTACCATAATGTTCAGTCTCCCAAACTGTCACATATTCGATGTGTTTTCTATGAATACTAACAGTTTTTAAATGGGAAAACATACTACACAGGTAATTTACTTTTATTCCATCCAACAATGTATCTTCGGCACTTTCGTAAGTCGGTACAGAAATAATATTTCCTTTAATTCAAAAGCAGTTTATTTTAAAAAGTGTAGCACTTAGAATGACTACTTTGTAATTATAGGTATAGTTGCTTTATGGATTGTAAACGTTTCATGAAGGTCTTATTTATGATTATATTAATATCACTGTGTCTATGCACCCAGAAAAGTTCCTGCTTAGCCCACAGTGGGAGCTCCACATAATCATATTTGCTTAAACTGGGTTAACTCTTTCTGAATCAAACCATATAGGGTAAAGTAGGCCTTTATGAGAGCAAACCTAGCTCCTAATCATCACTTAAAATATATACATTTCCTCTGAGTTTTCCAGTCTCAAACAACCTTTGAAAGAATTTTGGAACAAAGCCCTCATGTAAACTGCAGAGAATGCGGCTGAATTACAAAAAAAAAAACTAGTATGAAAATGAGAATATTTGTAAGTATTAGTAACCTCCACAGCCTATCAGTTCCATGTGATAAACACTTAGACAACAGGCCTGGGGCTGTGCCACATCAAAGCTGTGTGTTCAACATTCAAGAGGAAATTCTGTTCCCAGGCTAGTAGTCCTCACTGACCTACTTAGACTATAAAGTAATTGAACTCCACGGCTTAAGGGACTGAAAAAACTAACCCACAGTATAGCTAATTCATGGGAAAACATATTCTAAATACCAACTGAAAATGCCCAGAAACATCTCCTCCTGACCTGGTCCTGCAGACCATTCCTTGCTGTGGAATCCAGGCATATGAGCATGCCATGCATGCTGGTTGCTTTTAGCAAGGTTCAGTAGCTGCAGAACTGTCCTTTATCATCATCATCATCATCATCTGGTTGCTTTTGGCAAGGTTCAGTAGCTACAGAACTCTCCATCATCGTCATCACCTGGTTGCTTTTGGCAAGGTTCAGTAGCTACAGAACTATCCATCATCATCATCATCATCATCATCATCATCATCATCATCACCACCATCACCTGGTTGCTTTTGGCAAGGCTCAGTAGCTACAGAACTCTCCTTCATCATCATCATCATCATCATCATCATCACCTGGTTGCTTTTGGCAAGGCTCAGTAGCTACAGAACTCTCCTTCATCATCATCATCATCATCATCATCTGGTTGCTTTTGGCAAGGTTCAGTAGCTACAGAACTCTCCATCATCATCATCACCTGGTTGCTTTTGGCAAGGTTCAGTAGCTACAGAACTATCCATCATCATCATCATCATCACCTGGTTGCTCTTGTCAAGGTTCAGTAGCTACAGAACTCCTTCATCATCATCATCATCACCTGGTTGCTTTTGGCAAGGTTCAGTAGCTACAGAACTATCCATCATCATCATCATCATCATCATCATCATCATCACCTGATTGCTTTTGGCAAGGTTCAGTAGCTACAGAACTATCCATCATCATCATCATCATCATCATCATCATCACCACCATCACCTGGTTGCTTTTGGCAAGGCTCAGTAGCTACAGAACTCTCCTTCATCATCATCATCATCATCATCATCAGTAGCTACAGAACTCTCCATCATCGTCATCATCATCATCATCGTCATCACCTGGTTGCTTTTGGCAAGGTTCAGTAGCTACAGAACTCTCCTTCATCATCATCATCATCATCATCATCTGGTTGCTTTTGGCAAGGTTCAGTAGCTACAGAACTCTCCTTCATCATCATCATCATCATCTGGTTGCTTCTGGCAAGGTTCAGTAGCTACAGAACTCTCCATCTTCATCATCATCATCATCATTCTTTATAGGGCACCCATTTATGGAGGGCCTAGTCCATGCCAGACATATAGTAACTCTACTCTTCAAAACAATCACAAAGGTAGGAATTATCATCCTCATTTTACAGATGAGGCTACCAAGTCAAAGAGATTCAGCAATTTGCTTTTGGTCATGTGACATGCAGTACCAAAACTGAAATTTCACTTCAGGTCTAATTGACTCCGAAGCTCATCCTCTTGCCTCTATACCTTGAATTCCATTCCATCTCAACTGCTCAGACTTCTTTTTCGGCACATGGTTCTATATAAAGGTGTTTGGTTACTGAAAAGATGGTTAGATGTTGAAATACCATCTCAACTATAATACACTCTAAGGTAGTAAGCCAAAATAAGTAAGTGACTATACAATTGCACGAAGACGATGCGAATAAATGCACAATCGCCTTGAAATTTTCTTTAAAAGTACTAGATCAAGGTGTAAAAATATGTTTTAAAGTAAAAAGAAAAAATAGCAAACTAACACTCTGTATGAGAACAAGTTGACTCTTTACTTCCTCAAATCCCAGTAGACACAGCACACTACCCTCATGTGCTGCTAACAGTAGCTAGAAGATGGGCATACTTTCTGAGTAACCCACATTGAGATAGTATATCATTTGTTTCTGTTTGTGATTTTTCCAAAAGGGAATTAATGGAAAGGGGTATTTTATGTGTAACAGTATTTTTAAAAAGGAAAACAACTTCAGTTTAAAAAAGCTATTTCAGTCATGCTAGTCCCCATCTCACACTCACCAGCATTTGTCAAAGGGCACTGGCATTTTAGGCAGGACAATTCTTTGCTGTATGAGACTGTTCTAAGCATTGTAAAACATTTAGCATCCCTGGCTCTCACCCACTAAATGCCCCCTCCCCTATTTGTGATAACCAAAATTGTCACCACAATGAGAGCCACTGATTGTTAGATACTTCATTCTATTTCAAGACAGCTGGAGACTTTGTTTATTTACATTTTCTACCACAGCTGTTTATTTAACCTTTCCTGGCAGTGCTTGTTCAGTTTCCTACTTTGCCCCAAAAGTTCTCCTTAAAAATAACACATTTGTTTGATGTTTATTTGAATCAGATTCAAAAAGCTAATTTCGTAACTACATCATAATAACAATAGTATATAATTACTGGTGACAAAAAGTAAAAGCTTTAAGAAATAGCAGGGAACTGGGAGATCATCTATTCCAATGGGTATGAGACCCCTGTGCAAAACAAAGCAAAAAAGTTGTGTATATATGCATTTTTTTTCTGGGACGAAAGTTCCATAATTTATATCAAGTACTCAAAAAAGTCCATGATCCAAACAAAGTAAAGAATCAGTAATCTAACAGTTCTCTCACTCTACTAGCAAGGCCAATGACATGCAAAGTGGTCAACTGGAGTAACAAGATTAAGACAGTACCATCAGTTCTTATTACCACAAACATGCATAGTGAATGCCAGAAAATGATCAGACTCATCAACAGGATAGAGGCTTCCACAAAACCATTTCACCCCCTACCATGCAACAATGAAATTCCTTTAAAAGGATGTTTATGATACCAGTTGCACACTAGAGGAGTGGGTTATTTTCAAGGGAAAGTAAGCTCCCTTCATTTATTTTGAAGTTTGTTTTTCTGATTATGTACTGATACCATTTTCTTAAAACAAAGTGGTTCTATATCTTTAAATATTAGTCTTACATTAATGATAAACTTGAGGTTCCAAAATTTTTTTAAAAATCTATATTTGAAAAATTTAGATTACTTGACAAATAATTTGCTGACCAGGGAAGAAGTCTCTGGTATAAAGATACTGTTTAAAGGACAGTATCTCCATAGATTCTCAAAAACAATCCTGGTAAATAGGCAGGTGCGGTTAGTTCCCATATTACGAAATAAAATAGGTTAAGTAACTTGCTAAGATCACAGAACTGTTACCAGGTAGCACCAGGACTAGGCCCACCCACTCTGACCCCATGTCTAGAGTTCTTTCTGCTTCACCACATTGCTTCCATTCACAAACATGGTACAAAACAATTTAAGTGCCACACAAGAAACCGTTTTTAAAATCATGTTGATAAACTACCAAATACCAAAATAATGTTTTCAACAATTCACAAAGAAAAACTTTCCACTAAACTTGAAAAATTCTACTTTGAGCCCTGGCCTAAAATGTCTGGAGAGTACAATACTAAACAGAAAGAAAAACAGTTCAAATAATTTGCATAGATCAGTGATGAATCATCAATACTGGAAAAACATTAATCCAGGTGTATGGCTGCCTACGAATGGATTGATATTATTACTTTCAGGTTAAAAAAAGAGTTATAAGTGATTATGAGCTTTGTGAATAAAAATCAAAGTTCATGTTGGCCACTGAAACAACTTAGAGGCAACAAGCGTTTGAAAACAAACACACATACAAAATATTCCAGTAATCTTAAGAACCTGTTGCATTGCAACAACTGCAACACCCCCTAAAACCAAATGACAAGACCATTCTTCTTCCAATGATTAGCAGTAAAAGAAATATTTTTACTCCCTCAGATAACCCTGTCTCTTCGGGTGCTTAGGTCACATAAGCTACTAAACAATAAAGTTGAATTACTACCTCACATACTTTTCATCATATGCTCTCTTAATTAGAATAGCATTCTTGAAATAGGATAAGCACTAACATTAGAAAAAAACATAGTTAAATCAATGAAACAGTTTAATTCTCCCTAAATAAAAACACATCTACATGTATCATGGGCTAAAAACGTTAAAAGTTTCTAGGAAGAAGAGAAATATTTGCCTTAGAAACACTGCAACTCTTTCCTCTCAACATTAAAACCCAAACACAGAAACCAGTAAGCTAGTTGCATTCACAGTCTCTTACAGCTTTTAAATGTCACATCTCAGTGCCTAAAAAAGTTACTCCATCGTTTTAAGTGTCTGAACTAAGAAAACTGTCTTTAAACTACTGAACTGCATTTTATCCTTTCCTTTCCCTGTGACCATCTGCAAAAGCAACAGTTGTCAGTTAAACAGAATCAACCTCTTTCCCAAAGGTACATGATTCACAGCCTGGTCACTGGATAGCAGACATGAACCGATAACTGTGACATAACACAATGATAAAACACAGTACCGAGCAAGAGAAAACAGGAAGGGTACACGTCTAATTTCCGTTTTCTTTGGGGCCCCCATTAGTAGCATTCCCTTCATCTACCTTCATTCAGTGGTTCACTATCAGGGCCAAATCCAAAAGTTACAAAACACCATCTAGCTACTGTTTGGCTGCTTTTATTTTTTCTGCACCAGGACTGGAGCACGCATTCCCCTGCAGTCCTCAGCTTCACCGCAATACTGATACCAAACAGTTTCAGCGGCCCAGCTGCCAAGCCTAACCATTCGTTTTTAAAGCAGTTCTTCATCAATCCTACAAAACAGCAAGTTCTTCATGGTATATTTTCCTAGAGTATCTAGCTAATATCATACTTTTAACAACTTTTTCCAACGTTAACTGGACACGGTGTTAGCACCATTGCTCGCGCCCACTCCCATAATCCACACTGCTTTCCTTCTCCATATTGCCAATCCCCACTAAACAACCGTAAAATCCAGTAACTATCATCAAATCCACTTCCAGGCCCTGGCAAGAATTCTTTGGCTTTACCGAAACACCTATTCCATAGGTAACCAATTCCAGTCCAAAATGCCAGAGTCCTACTCCTCAACCCAATGCCCTATCTTTTGAGTGGATTATAACCTGTCTTCTTTGGATCCAACCCCGGCCCAAACCTGAGTCTTCTCTCCCAAGTTACAAGCCCCCAAGTCCTGGCAGCTCTATGCTTGACAGCTCGCTGACCTCCACCTCATCAGACCTCTGGCTCGCCCTTCCCGCCGTCCTCCAGACTTCTTCCCGCTCAGACACTCATCCACTGCCCGAGGAGCCTGGACGCCTCCTATGACCCCTCCCCGATCCCGCAGTCCCCTTCTGGACCTCGCGGACCCCTCTCAGGTAAGCGGAGCCTCTTGCCCTGCAGGCCCATCAGGGGTCCTGGCTCCCCGCACCTGCCACCAGGGTTCCCAGGCTGCAACAACACAAGTAGTTCTTCTTCCCGAGGGCCACCCTCCTCCTCAGGCCGCTCTCCTCAGCACCACGTCACCCGCGCTTCGCCGGGAGACCCCCTACTCACCCCCGCCTCCGCCATCTTCTGGGACCAGCCCCCGTACCCCCCACCGCCTCTTCCTCCTCCACTCCCACAACTCCGCCCGAGCTCCACTGCGCCTGTGCGGCCAACGAGGCCGCGCGCAGGCGATCGGGGCAAAAGAGCTTCCGGTTCCTGCTGTCAATAAAGGGTGGACCTGCGAGCCGGGGCAAAAGGGCTTCCGGTCTGCGGGAGACTGGAGGCTAGCGGTGGGCGTGGACCGTCGAGGTGACTGGCGGCTGTCGGATCAGCTGTTGTTTGCTGACCAGGCAGCCGTGGGTAATGACGGATGCCCAGACCCTGTGGGCGGAGTAAAGGAATCATGCACTGATACACGCACACTCACCGAGAGGCGCGGCCGTCTGCGTGCCCCTCATCTCGTAGTCGAGAGGAGCGCGCTGCGGGGCAGGCCTCCGAGTACTTCCCACAGAGGACCGGGCTTTATACTGCTCCTTTTCCTCCCCTAGTAAGTCATAACTTAATTTGGGAGAAGAGCATAGTTATTTGTCTCTCGTCTCCATGCTACAGCACTTTATGTGCTTTTCATTCAAAATCGTTCCTCGAGGACGACCAAGTAACGTGATTTGGGGGACAGTTTTCATAGGAAGGACTTTATAAGTTTACACCAACATAGAGAAAATTTAAAAACCTTATAATTGTGTGTCAGAAGTATTATTTTTCACTTAATCTAAAACCTTACTTTTAGAACATGAAACCAAGCCAAACGGGTCTTTGGAGATTGTGCAAGCGAACTTCTTTTTTTTGAATGAAAGTGGTGCCGTCAGTGCAAAAGCAAGCCCATATAAGTGCCGAAAGGTACTCGTCATAAGGAGGAGTTGCTTCCCTATTCTGAATTTTTATTTATTTATTTATTTAAGACGGAGTCTCGCCCCATCACCCAGACTGGAGTGCCCTGGCATGATCTCGGCTCACTGCAACCTCTGCCTCCCGGGTTCAAGTGATTCTTCTGCCTTAGCCTCCCCAGTAGCTGGGACTACAGGTGCGTGCCTCCACGCCTGCCTACTTTTTGTATTTTTAGTAGAGATGGGGTTTCACCATATTGGCCAGGCTGGTCTCAAACTCCTGACCTCGTGATTTGCCCACCTCGTCCTCCCAAAGTGCTGGGATTACAGGCTTGAGCTGCCCCCGATTTTGTTTTTTTAAGCAACTCTTTTTAAAAAGAGAGAGAGAAAAAAATCTCTCTTGAGTATATTAGTTATTGAACTATTCTATTTGGAGGTGGCTTAACCCAAAACATGTTATGGATTTGGTAAGATTACAATGAATTTGAATGTTCTAGATGAAATCTGGGCCGAGAATAATTGCATAATAGTTTTCCAAAAGACTGTCAGATGGTAAACTCCTTTTATTTACTTTGAACTGATAAACGATAAGATAGATTTTCGTTTTTCTGACCTTTTTATCTACATTTATTTCTGAAAACTGAAAAAGAATCTGAATTTCCAACAAAATGTTTCTAGGCAAGTATTTGCATGATGCTTCTCTAATATTTCCTATATCTCTTAGTGTTTTCTCTAATGTTTTCTGTAGCTCTCAAATTTCACTCCTGTAAGTTTTCACACTACCAGTAAGAAAGATCTGGGCCAATTATGCACAATGGACGATGATTTTTACAAGAAAAGAGAAAGCACTCAGAAAAGAGACAATAATTTGAAAATGTTCTCACATCATGTATTTCCTTAAAGCAATACAAGTCCTGTATGTCCAGTTCATGCCTACTCCAACCGAGCTTTTTTTGGACACTTAGAAATTGCGTTCAAGAAAATCCTTATGGAAAATTTTAACCTAGAGGGGCATTTATTTTAGTTTAAATATGTATTAGTTGCAAGTAGTGACAGAACCTAAAAGCAAAAACCATACAGCACCAGTTCCCAAGGTTCCTGCATCTAATGCAGTTATTCCTACGGCAGTACAAGGCAGAAAATAAAATCCCTAGGAGAAATACAAAGGGCCATTCTCTTCTTTGACTGGGTTTGAGGGCAGTTTTCATGGAAGATGTGGTCTTTCAGTTGGCATTGAGGATAAATATGCAGATATGGTAAGCCTGTGCATTCTGGTGGAAGCTCAGATTTGGAAAAACATGAAACAGATTGCAGAGTCTGGCATGTAGAAAGAGGTATGGTGAGACATGTGAGTTCTAAACATCAAGCTCATGAATTTGGACTGAATTTTTGTTATGGAAACATTGAAATACTAAATTAATTGATACCAGAATATAAATTAGTTAAGAACATCAAGAAATCATAGTAACTCTGAGTTGTTTTGAAGTTCGTGTAATGTGGTCAGTGGAACGCTGGTGAATGATCCTTGAAACCTGGATTGTATTTCAGCACTAAGACAATATGTGTGTAATCATTTCCACTAAATTCATTTTTTTTAGGCTTTCTTCTTTTCATCTGTGAAATGAGAGATTGGTCTAGATGATTTCTGAGGTCTTTTTCATAGGTAGAAGTATCAACAATGTGATAATTATTGACTTCAAGAAAGGTTTTTTCCATTAGCTTTATATGTTGTTTGGTCTCCCAACCAAACAGATCAAAAGATAAGTTAGAAAACAAAAAGCCCTTTACTTAGCTAGTCAAACACCCACAAAAGTTTATTGACTTTGTTGGAGTGAGATATTGTGGGAGTCACATTAATTATTGCCTACAGGTTGATGACTAAGCCATTCAGTAAGCCTCGAAGAACCTTGGACTTGGAAACATTACCCAAATTAAAAACATCCAAGATAATTTTTTTAATATTACAATTTTCCTAGTCAGTAGCTAGAACCCCACACACTAGAGATCATTCTACTTTTTTCGTTTTGGTTTTTGTTACGATGTTTTGATGTGAGATATGGTTGAAGGACATAGAGCATCAAGAAATTTTGCTTTTTTTTTTTTTGAGAAATCAGAATGGATTATTTATTAATCCAACTATCACCTGAGCACCTGGCAGGTACCGGACACTTGACACTGGACTTTAGGAAGAAATCAATACAGACAAGGCACATTCATTTGTGAAACTACAGTCCTGTAGGGGAAACACAGTAAATGGTGGAATTAATATGTAATTACAAACTGAGACAAGTGCCATGAAGATGTAACATCTCTATACTGTGATGGAGAATAAAGGGGAATACCTGGAGACTATGCGTGAGCTGAAGATTGAGAGGGATCTGCTAAGAGCAGGATGAAGAACAGGTGTGAGAGCACAAAAGCTGAAAAACTTGGTGCATTCTGGGAATTGAAAGAGAGGCAGAGCTGGGGGTAGCAATTGAAAAGAAAATTACAAATTGAAGTTGTATTTTAACATCATGATTGATGTTAATCACTTTCTGTGTGCCAGGCACTGTGCTAAGTTAAATCTCATTTCACATGCTCAAACCCATTTGAAATAGATACCAAATAGCAAATGAGAAATTAAGGGTAAAAGCAGTGATTCCTTGGCTGCATGTTAGGATCACCCATAGATATATTAAAAGTTCTAGTGCCTGAGCCCCACCTGATTGTTGAGAATCACTGACTTAATGTTAGTCTGTCCAAGGTCACTTCGTAGCTAAGTGGCAGAGAAGGCAGAAATTGAACCTAGATCTATTGGATTCTAAACCCTATGCTCTTAGCCACTCACTAGTGTCCTGTCAACATTCAAAAGCACATAGTAAGCAGCAGTTACATGTGGGAACTCTGTTAAGCCTGAGACACAACGATGAATAAGACAGAGCTCTTGGCATCAATAAATTCACAGGCTGGTAATGCAGAAGTTAGGTCAGCCCACATGTACAGAAGCAAGTCAACTGAGAACTCTCAATGAGATCAGATATATTTTTCCTATTTTAAGCTAGATTGATGTAGGTAACTGATGACAGGGAATCTACGTAGGCAGCTAGTGCGATTGTCTGCTGAGAGATGGTGCAAACTGAACAAAGTCTATGGCAGAGGATACAAAGAATCATCAGGACTTGCTGACTGCTAATGTTGAGAGTGAAGAAAAGAAGGTGGAAGATGATTTCAAATTTTCGAGTTTGAGAGACTGAGTGAAAGTAACATCACTGATCTAAAATAAGAGTACAAGAATTGAATTTCAGGTTGAATGAGTTTGAAATACTTGTTGAACATTCAGGTAAAAATGTCTAGTAGAGCAGTGGAAATGTGCATCTGGAACTTGAATCAGCAAATTGGTCTAGAAATGAAGATCTGGAATTATTGACTTAATAGGAGGTAGTTGAAATCGTGACTTGCATAACGTGTATGCTGTGTGTGGGATTTTTAAAAAGACAATAGAGATAGGAGAAAGAAAAGAAAAACCCTGACATTGCCATACTTGAATATGTCAATAAAGCTATTTTTTTATCTACAGTGATATTAAACACAATCAATTCATGATTATCCATGATGAGTTGTTAATACTTTCCAGGCTTTCCTTGGCCACATAGCAAATGTAATAGATGAGACATAGCCAGGGAATGCAAACCAATTTTAAACATTGGGTAAATATTTAAGAAGAATGCTATACGATGCATTCAGAAATGTAATAGGAATATCCTAGAACAGCATTTTCACACAAATAATTTTTATGTACCCCTCATACTGACTTAAATTATTTTGATCATAATATTACTTAAACCTTAAAAAGTTACAATGTTTTAAACATAAAACTGGAGAGAGAAGTCTTAGGCTTAAGCTCACATACATCATAAAAGCAAAACATTTGCAAAATAACTATGAAGAAAAGCATAAAGTAAATAAGCTTAAAAGTATAGTAATGTAAAGGACATCTTGAAATTGATGTATAATGTCATCAATATTGAGGTGGATGGTGGGGGCCAGGGGGAGGTTTGCACATCAAAAGCTCCAAAAAAGGAAAATGAGGACATTGATCTTTTAGTGGCATAGCACTTTGGGGGCATTTTTGGATGGGTCTGTACAGAAGCAGTGACAACTAAAGTCAATAAATTGAATGTATATAAAGTCAAATGGTCCCTGTAAGGCTTGGTATGTATCATCAGGCAACAAATAAACTAAACAAAGCCCAAGCGAGGTCACTATGGATGAGCAAGCAAATGCAAAATACACCTCTAAGACAAAGCTACTGAGGTGTAAAACATTAGAGTGAGAAGACAACTGGAAAGATTGCAGACTATAAACTCTTTGTCAGAGAGGCAATGATAGAGACCCAGAATATAAAAGCGACACTAGCTATTAATTATTACAAGGGCCCATACAATTTGAGGTCAAAAAACATAACAAGGTATTTGCTAAGAGATTTTTGTCCTGCTAATTCACCATACTGTTGTTTCAGCTCTGGGACACTCCGTTCAAACTGAACTCACACACAGTGGGGTTTATGTAATGTTAGGACCCTCCCGAAGACAATATATGTATTCTTATCTCTAACTGAACTTAAGCTAGACTCGTGGTTGTCTAAGAGTGTATATTATTTTTATAAGACACTGATGGAAGT